GTGTGTGTGTGTGTGTGTGTGTGTGTGTGTGTGTGTGTCTAGTACGTCCCATTAGAATTAAATAAGGAAACACTTTGATCATTGTTTGTGTAATTTTGAAAAACATGTATCATTATGCAATGCATCATAGTCTATTAATAAGTCTGATACACCTCAGTGTATAAATACTACATGCATGCACAACAGTGTAATATACAGTACAATGTGTGGACCAGACATAAACATGCACATCTATTTACAGAGCTGAGAACAATGGACTGACAGACATACCCACACAGGGAGGTTCCCCCATCATGTTAAAACACAGCTGATCAAAAGCCGAGAAACTTGAGGTCAGACACTTACTGTTGACCCATATGTGGGCAGAGCTTTCTGCAGACCCCCTCTCATTGGTGGCCTGGCACGTGTACAGCCCCTGGTCCTCCACCGTGATTCTGTCAATGTGGAGGGTCCCGTCCTCTGGTGATATCATGATACCTTTAAGATTGTGGCATAAAAAAATCTTTAATACACCAGATTACAGCGATAATTAATATGTTCACTGTCTTTTTATTACCTGATCCTTGTGACAGAGCGTGTTTGTCTTTGTACCATGTGACGGTCGGGGCTGGGACACCGTGAGATGGACATCTGAGAGTCACTGAGCTGCTGACATTGACCGTACAGTCTGTCAAATTGTTACGCAGCTCCGGAGGCTCCAGAACTGAAGGGACACACACAAACACACCATGAGTGGATAGTTATTTCATTTATAACACTTTAATATTGAAGAGTCCATGCAAGACACACATGATTTGATCCTTCAGGCTTGATTGCAGATACCAGAGGGTTAATGTAACTATATCTTTACTCAAGCAGTGTAAATAAGTACTGACTGATAAATATTTATATTTTGTGTAATATATCACAAGGACATATTACACTTTTGACTTAAACTACATTTTGAGAGACAGTTTCTTACATTATAGATGTTTAATAAACTTTAACTGCGACGCATTAAAAACATTAAGGACACAATAGTAGCTAAAATTATTCATTGAACCACTTTAACTATTTCCAACGTTTAAATGCTATTTAAACACAAATGTATGCACATTACAAAAGTCATATATTGATATGATACACTGGAATCCAGTCTTTTTATGGCTGTTCCTATTAAACAGCTCCTGCTAGAGTCCAAAAATGGAGATAAGAGTAAAACCAAAGCAGAAAACATCTGGAAAATAAAAGCAATGATTAAAAGCAGAATCGGAAAGTGGGTCATTATCACAAGCCTGAAACCTCATCACATTACAAAACAGTCATGAACCTTTGCTAATATAAAAATGTACATTATAGCCTTTAATAACATTTTGCTACTCATATAAACTCGAGTACATCTTTGAATGGAGGACTTTACTTATAACAGAATATATTTTGTGTAGTACTTTCACTTTTACTTGAGTGAAAGATTTAAAGTAGATAAACTAAGATTTTGTCTCGTACACTCATGGTTATTTATAGACTGCAGGAGATTTCCGATGAAATAAAATCACAGCTATTTTTTCCCACACCTTTTTGGAGTGGTGCCACTCCTGCACAATGATTGTGTGCTCGTAGTGACACTAGAGAGTAGAAGAGTGGCCTTGGGTTCAACCTGTGAGTCAGCTTGACACAAAAAAAAGCGACAACAATAATGTATTTCATCATGTGAACACTGAGTGCACACAATGATTCCAGTCTCATGCACTATAATTACACCACAGGTCTCATGCACTATAATTACACCACAGGTCTCATGCACTATAATTACACCACAGGTCTCATGCACGATAATTCAATCGGATGGTTCCTCGTTCCCTGCAGTTCTCCGACCCCATGTTTTAATATTTTTCCTCCTTTCTTCCCCCTTTTTCGTTCAAGTTCCCCCACTTGTCTCTCTCTGGTCACCTTGTCTCTCTAGTAACTCCCTTGTGGGGTCCTGGGGGAGGAAGTTGTTGTGCTGGGGCCTGATTGTACAGAGAGTAGCAGTAAAGGACATGAAGAGAAGTCACTTAACCAAGGCGACTGATTGTTGTTTCCCCTATCTTCCTCCTGGACAACAATTGATGATTGTCCGCGGGGGCTGGGGCCTGACAGTGTCTGATTGGCTGATTGTTCCTCCGGCCTTGTGTAGGGGCCTGTAAATGTGGCATTGTGGGAAGTGCCATTGTGTGCTCTTCCTCCAGACAAGAGCTCATTCCCACGTGAAAGAGGTGCTGAGCTGGAGCGCAAGAGCAAAGGCAGGGTGGGGCCCCAGGAAGCCGAGGGGACCCAATTCCCAAGCAGCGAGGCCTCTGTGAGAGCGTGTTTGTTTGTTTGCATGTATGTATTTATATTTATGTGTGTGCGACACAATGCATGTGCACAGAAAACATGAAGAAGCTGCAAGTTTACGCAGAGAATGGGACGAGTTTAGCTTGGGAAACGATCATTGATTTGTGCGTTGATATCGAATATTCAAAACAACTTTGTTCAACCTGCTCACTTCCAAAAGATTCATGCCAAGCCAGGTTGGTAAAATTGAATCAGTACAAAATCAGATCCTTAAATTTAAGATGAGGAGAGAATTCAAACTTGAAAACCAAAGATAATTTTGAACAAGCTCTTCTCAGTCCAAAGTTTAACCCTGATTATCAGATTATATATGTTGAGGATGAGGATGAAGAACATTACTCACTCATGACCGCCACCTGTGTGTCCAGATGTGTTTCCTGTCCGGTGAGGAGGTGGCGGGCCGAGCACCTGTAGGCTCCAGAGTCTCCAGCTGTTAGGTTGCTTAGCAACAGGATCAGGGCGTTGGAGAAGTCCCCTGATGTGAGCTGCTGAATTCTCGGGGCAGGGCTGCGGGATTGGACGTCCTTTGTGTCATTCACTTGTTGCCATGACAACGCTGTGTACAGGTACTTATTGGCTGCGCAGGTAAGATGGAGGTCGCCGCCCTCCCTTGGTTCCTCCCGCTGGTTTACACTGAAGCCTCCTGGGACATCTGAGGAGAAACAGAAGAGGTGGATTGATGGAAGGTAGGAAAACAGAATATAGACCTCCTGATCTCCTCTGTGATGAACCAGTCTCTTCAGTTTGTTGACACATCAGGATCCTGCCTGGTGCTTGGAACACATACGTTAAGAGCCGATTCCACCAAACTCAATTTTTTGTAACCTTTGATGACAATGTTGAATGGCCATTGTCGGTAAAAGCAGCAAGTGGAATACAGTGAAAAGGCTTTTTATTTACTTTAGCCATTTGAAACTTCCCGTGGAAACGGCTCAAGAGTTTCCTGATGGCAGATAGTGTTTATCTTTCCCGAACACCCCAAGGCCTCCCGAAATAAAGTGGACCTGCCAGTCCAAGGAAGTGCACTGCACGGGGAAGTGGAACGATAAGAGCCCCAGCTTCCTGTTTCGCTCACACACTAGCAGCTCAGGGCAGCTTCGTGCATGGACACATACACACTCTTGCACACAAAAACACCTTAAACCTGTTGTAGGCTTGGTTACAAATCTAACACCACATAAACTGCAAGATACAGTGTGTACACAATGCACGTACGCCACTTTGTTCTGCCAAGTATTTAACCTATATCAACATGTGTGTTACACCTTCAACTTCCACACTCATCATGGGACTGGTTTGTTTCTGTGATGTGTCACGTAACAGAAGACTGTTTTCAATATCCAGTCTGAACACAATTTCATAACTTTCATCATAAAATGGCTAAAACCTTTATCCAAAAACAACTTTAATGTTCATAACTGTTTATTTTAAATACCAAAACAGGACCCACAATGATTTGTTCAATAGAAAATGAACAATGTCATATAACCCTGTAATGTGCGACAGTGACGGAAGCGGTCTGCTGTCCTGTCGCTCCAGTTTGAGCTCTGAGGTCTGTAAATGTGCACACATCACACATTCACTGAACTGTCCCTTTTAAGTCTCTGGCACTGCGCCCCCTGTCTTCATTACAGTGAAACGACCTTAACACAGAATTACATTCTTCATTTATTCGTTTGCAAGCTCACACATCACATTTCCTTTACCTTTTCTCCTTCTCTCACTTTTTCTTGTCTGACATACACATGTAGTCATTCTGAGACAAAACATCATCTACTGCACAAGCCCTGTGTCCCTTTTACTGCTTGTGGCATTGAAACACATTTATCACATTCTCTTGACAATGATGGAAACAGCTTTTCTTTTAATAAATTAGTAATATCCCATTGTGAGAGTGTGTGAGGGAGTGCATGAGGAGATATGAAAGCAAATCACAAGTTGAATGATGAACTGATGGCGTAATGAACTATCATAATTATTCATGTCATACTTCAGAATTGATTCCCTATTTTTCAGTGAGTGAAACTTAAACAGTCATCTTCATATTGCAACAACAGAATGACTATTTCATGATTTCACTCATTATTCTGGATAAATATCCAAAAATACAATTTAACACATGAAACATCTGGTGGCCTTGTTTAATTTCCAGGAAAGTGACAAAACTAAGCACATGATTGAAACTAGTCTTTTTATATGACAAGTGACTGAGGAGTAAAAAGGAGGAAGGGGAGGCCTGGTGATGGAAAAAATGACTTTTCTTTGAAATTTGTAAGCATTGAAAAAGAGGAACTCCCAAATGTCACCAAAGAAACACCCATGAGTACCATATTTTTGGCGATATGTTTAATTCTGTATTTTGGGATCACCTGTGATGTAGAAGTGGACGTCCATCTGGTCTGTGCCTGCAGAGTTGGAGGCAACGCAGCGATACACTCCAGACACAAAGGCCTCTGCCACAGTCAGGACTCCCACTGTCTATAGAGAGCACAAACATCCTCCTGAGCAAACCGACACTGAGCACACGCACACACATGAACACACGCACACACGCACGCACGCACACACACACACACACAAACTTATGGACACGCACACACATACATTAGGCTTGTTACCTCTGCCTCTGATGGCAGGAGTCATATTTTCCAATGGCCCACTCAGCAGACAATAGGGGGTTTCTGAGCCAGACCTCCTGCCCACATCCATCCCAGTGGGCAGCTTGACATGCAAACTGTCGATAAGTAATATTGTGTGTGTTTGTGTTTGTGTGTGGATCGGTTACCATAGAAGGAGAGAGAAAGAGAGAGCAGAGAGTGAGACGCTCTTGCCTGTCTTTCATTGCTTGTAGTCGCCCACACTTGACTGTTATCCATGTTTTATCCTATCTTGAGAACGTCTGAAGAGAATTTCTTCAAATTTGGTCTCAATCAGGAGACTGATCGAGGTTGAAAGTCAAAGAACAAAAAGTCACGATGGTCACAAACATGTTTTTGGCCTCTTGAACGTGAAGTCTGCCTGTATGGGAATTTCTTCAAATTTTGCTCAGTTGTCACAAAGACTAACTGATTAGATCTCAGTGATAAAAGATCAAAGGTAACGTAGACCTCATGGAAACTGCACTGGGTGGCGGAGGCATACATCTGCAGTGCTGCATTTATAGTTTTATATATCAGATTCAATATTTAAATATTTATGATAATGATAATGAATAATGATACAAAAATCCACTAATATCTGCAACTAATCACATGAACTCTTTATATCTTCGGCTCTTATTTATGATGTTATTGCAACATTGAGTTTTATACATCTGGCTCCAATCCTGGCTCCTCTGTCAGAGTGCGTGTTTCAGTGTTTTCCACCTACCCTTTTCTTCCCCCGAAGCACTTCCTGTCTGTGAGTAACACTCAGGATGCGGTTGTGTGTGGACATGGTGGGGAGATCCTCTGTCACAGGGCGCCATAGCGAGGAGGACGGCGGACACACGCACCTTGAAGGAGGAGGAGAGGGACAGGGATTCAGCTGTGTTGATATAAGTCTCAAAGTGTGTGTGTGTGTGTGTGTGTGTGTGTGTGTGTGTGTGTGTGTTCCTCAGCTGTGCTCGGCAGGAGGAAGACCTGAACACCAGGGAAACACCTTGATCTGGTGCTTGATGTGATCTTCACCGTCATTCACATAAGCATCATCATCACCAAACCATTTTTATCAATAGCATCACATCCTCTTTCTCTGTCCTGCAGCCTGACAATAGCGGATCTTTGAGAGTGCTATGTAATGCTGGATTGTTCACCTATGGAGGATGCAGAGGTGGTTCCGTCATCCTGTGGATCAGCTTCCTTCCATTCTTAACAAATCATCCCACATTTCCAGGACTAGAGTTCCTGTCACTGTCAATGACTCTCACAAGTCTAAATCAATAGATTACACACAAGTGGAGCTGTGGGAACTGGAGCTTATACGAGACACTTTGTGGTTATTTGCATTCATTAGGATGAAAAACAGAAGTTGAGCAGGAGCTTGGGAGCGTCCCTATGCTTGATCTCATGGAGAGAAAGGTGCATTAAAGAAGCTTAATATTATGATAAATATCTTATTCTAACCTCATTTATAACTATCACACAGTCATAAAGGGAAGTTAGGATATGTATCTGATTCAATTTATTGACTCCTCTACTGTGGCATGATAAATGTAATGTCATAGAAAAGTAATGGAAGATAAATGATAAATGTGTTGAGTGCTGTAAAAAGTAGGAACATCTATTTTGTGCAAAATAAAATCTGTGAGTAAAATAAACTGTTGATTGATTCTCATGAGTGAAATTGCATGACAGCAAAAATAAATTATATTTCAGGGCATTTTACTGTCAATAAACCATTATATAGGGCATTGAGGATATATTTTTATTAATATTGAAAATAAAAAAGATTTCATAGTATTTCCTCTCACTTTAAGTCACGTCCATTTGCAGCTGTGATTCAGCAGTTTAAAGAAAAGCAGGAACCGAAACTTAACAATAACAATACCAAGCAAATTATCCTCCATTGTTTGAATCACCTATCATTGTAAAATATGTTACACAACCTAGTTAGAACATTTTCATTTTCACTTTCTGTTTGTCTGTCTGTGAGTGTGATGCAGGACCGAGGTCAGCACAGTTTTGACAATGAAGTTGTTTGAATGAGAGGCTGCTCAGACTGCGACCCTAACCTCAGTTATTTTAAACTTCACCTGCTCTTGGAAATAGAAACCACTATACTCCTATCAGGCACTGGAACATTACGAACGAGGAAAGTTCAGTCATTTTAGGCTCAAACTTAAAACTAATGAATTCAAGTCTGTTCTATGCAAGAGTGCCAATGAAATAATATGATATATAACATTGGGTAGCATAATATTTATATAATGTGATCTTTATCTATCTATCTATCTATCTGTTAGAATAATGGAGACAGATGTCATAGTAAGAAGAATGCAGTTTTATTATAAGACATGAACCATGTTCCTCAGTGTCAACTGTCATTTCCACAGAGTTCCTTGATGCTCTGTGTGTTTATGGATGTGTCACTGCCCCTCTCTGAGTCTCTGTGTCTCAAACTCTGCCTCTCTCCGTCCCTGTCTCTCTGTCTCTGTCTGTATCCTCGCCGTCATCCTGAGCACCTCCCTGAGGTTGGTTCCTCTCTGCTGCTTGATTGCCCTTCCTCTTGGAATCTAGATAATGTGCGACCCACCCTGTGCATGACACTTTGGAGTCTGACGCACTCATACTCACAGGAATGCACAAATCATGTCTCATTTTCTTTTAAATCCCATGCATGCATACACCCACACACAAACACACACACTTGTATACACCAGCTAACACTCCCATGCCTCCCACAAAAAGCTTTCTCAATCAAAGTGACACCCACATACACAAATTTGATTAGTGACATGGATGTGTGGAGCGGTAAACGTGGTTAGACACAGAAAATGAACACGTACACATGCACACAGCCACATTCACACAGTGTGAGCCTGCCAACAGGGTGAGCAGCTGCTTGAAAAATGAATGAACTGTTCCCAGTTGTGTATCAGTGGTGGTCATCTCCTGCCTTTTTCTTCCTGCCCTGCCTAAAATACTCCTGTGTACTGTCCCTGTGTCTCGCTCTCTGCCCCAAAATAACCACAGAGCTGTAAAAACCAATACACAAATATAAGCAAAGTTTAATGCAAAAACACAAACAACTGATATAACACTTCAATACATCTTAACAGATTCATACAAGTTGGCAAATATTGTCATTTCGTCATATGTAAGTTAGTTGTATAAAATTATTAAATATTAGATTCATATATTACTCATAGAACATCTGTATACAAGGAATGGATCACATTGGGAGACACCCGTAAAATGGGGGACACACACATTCACGCATGCACACACATAGACACACTCGCACACATAGACGCACACACACAGAAGTGAACTAAAACACTAACCACTCACTCTCTTAACATGGCTTGTAGTATCACACATACAGTACATTTAGATTTTACTTAACTTTCAATACAAAGACAACAGGGCTGTTATACTGACGTCGTTTGGCACACAAGACATTTTCGACACTGGACAACACATTATGACACAACATGACAGAGGGCGGTCATAGTCTCTGGTCCGTGGAGACTTCCTACATGGTAGGCGTCTGCTGACCTTCAGTCTTTTAATAGAGAACTGTAGGCATCCCATAGTGAACAACACAAATCTTGTCCTCTCTCTTGTTTCGCCCGTCCATGGTGAGCACATTCGACCCTCTACCGGTGGCTAAAAATCGGAACAGAAACTCACAGCTTTTGTGGATGTCAGAATCATATCGGGGGCTTGAGACAGGCACGGTTCATGCACCCATTATAGTACCACTCTAGGACACAAAAAACAAAGCAAAGCAGCTCCAGAAATGTGGCTGGTGGATGGATGGAATTGCACTTCTTCTGGCTCAAAATGTCTGTGAAATGTAAAAAATAAAAAGCATAAACAACTACAGGATGGCTGGGTGCGAGGGGGGGAGTGAGACTGGCAGAATGGAGGAAATAAATAAATAATCAGTAAAGCGGGGGTCCTTAAATCCTCAGTGATGTGACTTATATTCTTCCATGTTTCCTGTGTGTCCTGGTTGTCACTGCTCAGCAGTGGTCCAGGTCACTTTCCTCACTTTTCACAACAGTTTGGCAAACACAGGATCATCACTTAGGATCACTGGTTATGTCACTGAGCGTTCCGGCTGCCGTGCAGAAGCACTGATGAGTTTGTGGAGGGTGTGGGCTCCAGGGCAGGAGGCGATGGGGAGTTGCTCTTCTGTAAAGGTAGAGGATGCTGGGATGGGGCGGAGGGCAGAGGTGGTGAGGGAAGGGGTAGGGAGAGGTATGTGTGGGGGCAGCGAAGTTGGGGGTGGGGGTTGTAATGGGGGGCTCTCAAGAATAGATCAAGCTCTTGAGGAAGCGGACTGTGCCACGTTTGAAGACGAAGGGACAATCACGCTGCTGGGAAGCGTCTCACATCGGAGAGGAAGCCAAACAACGAGAGGAAAAGCGCTCTGATTTTCGCACAGGAAGCCCAGTGCGCCTCCTGCCTGGGCCAGATAAGAGCGCTGCGGTTCCCAGGGCCAGACCCAGGAGTGGACCCGGGACCCAGGCGTGAGGCCCCCTGTCAGCCGGGCCCGGCCTGGTCCACGGATCCTGGGCCTCCTCCGGCGCGGCGTCAGGCTTGTGGTGCAGCCGGGCTGCAAAGAACAAGGGCCCAGTGAGGATCCAGCCAAAAAAACTAGTCTAAAGAAACACACTCAAAACACTGAAGCAGAACCAGAACAGAGCTTTAGGAAGAACCATAAGTCTGTCAGGCAAGACTTTACTTTAAGTCCTCATATTTAGAATTCATATCAACACTAAATAAACGGTTTATAACACACTTCAATGTGGTTTTACAAAGCGTTAAGGACATTTTGAAGTTGTCTTAACAACAGATTCCACTTATGGGTGCCCGCAGGAACAGTTAATTATTGTTAAATAATATATCATTACATGCACGTGTTATAAACCATTAATTAAATGTCTATGGGCTACTTCTGAATGCTAAATACATGGACTTAAAGTAAATGGTGATTAACCAGTAATCTATATCTATACTTATTTTATGTTTATTGTTTTCTACACCCTTTTTTACCAAAATATGAAATCTATTAAAATAACAGATCATGAATTGGGTGTAACTCAGCAACTTTCTGCAGAATGAATATTGTGGATAACAAACATGTATTGGTTCGGTGCCAGCTGGTCAAGAGCATATACATTATGTATATATTTGGTATTTGGCAGAGACGGACAGATGAAACCCAGAGTGGCGGCACCTCGGCATGGCGCCATGTAAGAGTGCCGGGGTCACGGGTCAAGTACACCGATGATGTCAGTGTGTCTCAGAGGGGGGATAGAGTGTGGGCGGCTGCTGTGGTTCTCTCAGGTAATGCTTAACCTCTCTGACTTGGTCATAAGCTACACAATAAGTGTGTGACATCCAAGAACAACTCAATCAATGCTTCTGCCAAGTGTGTGTGTGTGTGTGTGTGTGTGTTTGAGTGTGTGAGAGACAGTTAACTAAATGACTGTCCCTCTGCATCACAGGGTTGGGCCATTTCTCATGAGAACTTTATATATACATAGTGTGTGTGTGTGTGTGTGTGTGTGTGTGTGTGTGCGTGTGTGTGTGTGTGCGTGTGTGTGTGTCTGTGATATAAGAAAAGCATCACAGGATGCAGTGTGCAATCACAATAATAAACAGTCCTCTCACCCTGCGTCCTGCACAGGAAATTCATTAAATCATAGTGTTTGATTTGGAAACCAACAAATCGTGACTGTGAGCACGGAACTGGCTTCAATTGAAGTGTGTTTTTTCTCTTCCCTTTCAAGTCTGAGATACACTGTGTACTATGCCTGTGAATGTACACACACACACACACACGCAGGCCACACATTTGTATTCACTTAAACAAACATATGGAAAAGGAGACATGGATAGTAAGAGAACAAACATATGGGGAAAGAGTTGAACAAGCAAGCAAACACACAAACACAGACATGATGAAACACACACAAGTAGTTGGGTGCACAAATGCGCACAAATATTCTCACACACATTTTCACACATTCCCGCACATGAAAGGCCCCCAAAGGCATCTGTTCTGGTTACAAGAAGGAAACGCTGTCTGAACACACGCTGATATAGACATAACATGTCTCGTTTTTCAAAAATCACACACACACACACACACACACCATCAACACTAAATAACATAAAACAAACAATAATTTACTGCACTGTATATTTTTGTATTATTATTGTGTTATTATTTTTAGATTTTGCAGTTCAAATAAACATCAACTAATAATCTGACTAAAAGTCTTATTTTCAATTTCATACTTTTGCTGTTTTTGCCGTTTAATTTGTTTGATTCAAAATGTTGCGTAACATCTCCAACAAATAAAGCAAATAACTCAGTATAACTGTTTACTGTATGTTTCTATTATCTACATTGTGCCTGTTGTGCGTGTTGACACATTTTATTTTCACTTTATAACATGATAAATGGCCAAAGCCTCTATGATAGAGCTATTTTCAAAGGAAGGCATACATTTTATTCAATACTAAAGCTTACTGTAATTCCAGCTGGTAACCTCTAAGGTCCCTTGGTTTCCTGCTCATGTCTTAAAGTACAAACTATGCTACATTCTTCAGTTTCCTCTGTGCTACTTACAGGCCTTTGGACGGACAGGGATGCCAGAGCCACTGGACGTGTGGAGGAGGGACTCCGTGGGACGTGCAGTGCAGCGCTTGTCTGCTCCCCCGTGGCACAGACCCCGGGTCCTGCAACGACACCGCTTTCTCCCCTATCTGAGGACTCACTGTCAAACAAGAAGCCCAAACACACACACACATTCATTCAGATACAAGAGCAGAGTTCAGTCACTGAGCGGAGTGTCAGTTTGTGCTCAAAGTGGATATGTATTTCTCGTTCCTCACCGTTGACAACAAGTGTGAGCGTGAGATTCTGGTAGAGGCCGTGCTCCTGGATTCGTACCAGGATGGTATACTTCCCAGCATCCTCCTCTGCAACGTCCCGGATCACCAGGGAATTCCCGTCCATGTGGTATCGGGAGCATTGCTCTGCCGCCACCGTGTCATCCTTCAGCCTGTCAGAAAAAAAATAGACTCCTGAGCAAACGTTTGGATTGGAAAGTGAAGAACACTTGTTTTAAAGCCAACCTCTGTGTGACTGTCAACATAAAGCAGAGTTTTAAGGGAGAGACCATATTGGAATAATAATACTAAGTTTGGTGCAGTGGCCCATTAAAGAGGAAATTCTAAACTCACAACTCACAAAGCGATGATTCACAGATACGAGTCTCTGATGTGAGGATCAATGTGACGTCTTACCAGATGACTTCAGGGGCAGGAAACGCTTTTAGTTTGGGAGAGATCCTGTAAGATTTCTGTCCAGCTTGAGCCTCCATCACAGATCCATGTCTGGGCTTCAGACGGATGAACGGACGATCTAAAGTTAGGGAAGCATTAATGTCAGATTCAATTGTCTGAGAGCCTGAGAGCCTCAGAATGAAAACTTGATTAATGAGTATATGAGTATATCTGTGGTTGAAAAACTTCTGTGTTGGGGAGTTTTAAGACAGAAAGACTCACCATAGACAGTAACAGTGACCTTTTGTTGTTTGGTCTTTTCCCCGCTCGTGACTCGACATGTGTAGAGGCCTCGGTCTGACCGCTGGAGTTTGGGAATGGTCAAGATACTGTAGAACAACATGTGTGTTCTGTGTTTCAGGAGCCTCTTGGTAAAGGAGCCGGCGTTGTTACTCTGAGGGTTGAGAGGAACAGAATTAATGCCGAAAGTTCACCTGCGAGTTTTTGTCATTAATTTTTTAAAAACAAGCAGAAGAGTTGGAATTTTAAAACCAGTTACATCATTTGACTGAATGTGACATCAAAATTGAAATTACAGGAGCAATATCTATTTAAGACTGGAATGTTTCTGTATAAATATTCTCTTATCTTACACAGATAAGTAATGGGGCATTAATGAGGTCAACTTGCGGATTATGTGACATTGGATCACAGTCACAGACATATGTTGTGTAAATGCCCCCAAAAAGGCAAACAAACAAATATATTTTTAAAAATGTAAAAAAATCGAATAAATCTATTCAATAACTATTTATTTCAATTTACAACTCAAGACTTGACGAGTGAATGTGAGAAACCCACAGACCATAAATATTACTGACTCAGTAAACAGTCTATTAGAAAGTACAAGGCTCTTTCCTTGCAATGATCACTGTCCACATATCCACAAGTATTTGACTCCAGTGAGGGTATAAATACATAATTTATTAAGTAATAATACAATCATTGGTTACAAGTAATGAATACCCAACAGAAAGTGGCGTAGAACTAATATTTCATTGAAGTGAAGCGATTGAAATTTAATGGGGAGTCACATCCAACAAAGGACAAAGGAAACCCCAGTACAACTCACATTCGAAACTCCATTTAAAGTTGAGCGCAGATATACTTACAAAGGAATACTTTTCCTGATTAAATGCAAATGAAGTAAAGTCTAGAGACTAATTGTGGCTCTGTTGTTTCCCAAATGCACTTTGTCAGTATTCGACAAGCACCTGGTCTCTACAGACTTTAGTGCAGCTCTGACCTTTCCGGGAAAGTCCCAGGTGATGTTGACTCTGGTGTTCAACTCCCCTGTGGCTGTGCAGTTTAACACCAGGCTCCTTCCCCTCAGAGCCTGCACAGGTCCGCTGCTGTTCAGATACACTTCCATGATGTTACTCACTGTGGGGAAGAGAGACCAAAACATAAAGGAGATGCATATATACATCAGTTTGTGATTTACATGCTAGGTACTGCTGCAGACTGCATGCGGACCTGGTCTGTGCACAAAGAATTTATGTGACTTGTATGTGACGCCATCGATGACGGTCTGGCAGAAGAAGAGGCCGGTGTAGTAGAGGGTGGGACTTCGGATGGTGAAGCCCTGCTTGCTGTTCCAGATGATGTTCCTCTGGTCAGGTCTCAGACTCTGGTTGGGAAACTGTGGGAGGAAAAGATCATCAAGTATTTCACTGCTGTTTGACTCAAAGAAGAAACTAAATGTCATATCTTAGTCTCAAATCCTTAAAACTGAGTCTTGCTTCTGCAAATGTTATGGAATGCAACCCTCTGTCTTGTATAAGTACTTTGAGTCCATCGCTATTTTTGTATTTTGTGTTTGTCTGATTATAACAATACCAAACTTACAAGCCCTTAGAGACGAGTCAAGATGGTTGAAAATAAAATGTCAAAAATGTGCCAGATTTTTAAAAATCAAAATCCATGAACTATTTCCTGGGAAGTCAAAGAAAATATTTTTGATAGTATTCACAAGAAAAGATTCCTGGATCCACCCCTTATCCGGATCGGTTCCAAAATGAAATGGCTGTTCCCTGACAAACAATCAAAATACAGAAACTTGAGTTAAAGAAGTTTCCAGAAGAAGCCGATTACGTTCTCACACTTTTGGTTTTATAATGTGCTTTCTTGGCAACCTTAACACGGATCCTCGTAACTTTGTTGTTTTCTTGGAGACAGCGTCAAGGAAATGTGACACAGTGGAAGCGTACCCACCCACTCTCAAGGGAACAGGTAGAGCCCTCCCTCCCCCTCCTGCATCCCCAGTGTGAATTGTCCGATATCCACCCCCCTCCCAGACCGTGGCAACTCCTCTGAGTTCCTCCACCCACACTCCTGCAAAGAAGACGCTGGTGGCGCCCTCAGTGCCCTCTCTGCCCCATCCTCAAAGGTGGAGCTGGTGGAGAACGAGTCAGGGGGGGCTCAGGATATGACAAACTTGACTCTCTTCGCATCCTGTTACTCCAGGATATGGACATTTTGAATGGAACCCCAGGTCGACCCCATCGTCCAGGACCTGCTGCTCACTTTCACAGCTATAGAGCAAGAGAGCAGAGCCTCCTGGGTATTGTTCCCGCTGAGAGGGGGTCATGTTAAAGATCCAAGCAAAGTGAAAAAATCCTTCCAGGAAAAAAACACTCCAGAGACAGTGACAACGAGTGAATTCCTGGTTCAGAGCGGCCAGCACAGGTTGGAGGAGGGAGTGGGAGGTGAGGGCGGAGGAGGGAGGCTATTTTTAGAGGAGAACATTTCCAGAAGTTGCAAGGAGATGGAAGCAAGACAAGAACACAGTTTTACACTTCCTGAATTCTAATTCAATAAAATTTCAAGTTCCTACATGTTTCCTCTTATTGCAGTTGTCCTCTTGGTTTTCAGTAATATTAGCAGCGTTGCTCTGTGGATGGCAAAATAGATATGAAATAGGTTGCCAAAAAATTTTACTCAGAGTCTGATGTTCCCTTATCAAACTTTTTCCTCTGTAACACCATGATGACAACGGTGTTTGTGGTTGGTGAAATTTCTCGCAGCTATTTGATGGTTTGACATGAAACTTAACACATATTCACGTACCCCTATGGATGATTTGTAATAACTGGTGATCCTCTGACTATTTAAACTAATATTGGGATACAAACTATAGGCTGAGGCAGACATGGATTTCATGATGGGAAATGTAGGATCTGGGATATTAAAACTTAATTGGATTGTCTGCTCCAGAGCCCTCTGCATGTTTGACAGCTACTCCATTGTAGTTACACCACAATAAGCTTCCTACAGTGACGAACAAGCCGTTATATTATGATTGAGGGGAACGGATGGTACTTTGATTTGTCAGGGGCCAACAGTAGCTGCCTTTGCTTCCTCCACCAGGCACAGCAGCTGTTTAAAGCATCAGTCAGAGGAAGCTGGCAGTCACGATTCTTACTACAAGAGATGAGATGGGAAGTGCTCCTGGCTGTGGGCCAACAGGGCACTGCAGACTCTGCGTCTTCCCTCCAGACAAGAAAGCAGAGCTGCTGTGGGCACCACTTGATGGGAAAACCCTTGTGAAGAAAGAACTTTGACCGTTTCATCGACGATGTGAACAAACAGACGAGATGCATTTCAACTTGTGAACCACATTGACCTAAAGACCTATACACTGACATATTAACATGTGCATTCAAACACACATGCATTCAACAAGCACTCTACATGATCCTCTTTGCACTTAGTGACTCTGTCTGCTCTCCCCCTCACTCAGCACTCAAGCACCAGCACTCACAAACATATCCGCACACACTTTCACACATATCCGCAGACGGACGCAAACAAACGGACACACACGCCACAGTGCAATGGCTGCCAAGATAAGAACAATGTGGCAATGGATCAGGAGAGGGAGAAATACGGGGCGGAGCATTGTGTGCAATTGGTGAGCCCCCCCATGGAACAAACTGGAATGTGCAGAGAATGTGTGTGAGGTGATTGTGCAGATACATGTAAGAAATAATGCAACAGACACACAAACTGTCACTGTCATCCATATTGTTTTTGCACTGACCTTGACCAGTGTGGTGGTGACATTGGGGTGTGTGACCCGACAGGGGACGACCAGCGGCTGCTTCTCCATCAGGTACAACACATCTGGGCTCAAACCCGGCTGCTCCACAAATGGCTGCTGGCTGTCTGAAACCCAAACACTGCGGTCAGGGACACATATGGTGCAGATGAAAAGATGATAATCAATGCATTAAAGTTTTGTCAGCACTGAAACATGTTTGGAGGTTTTCCTCTTAGGCTGTAAAGGTCAAATAACTTTCATCAATTAGTTTAGACAGTCTGTATGAGGCCTGAGAGACGAAACCCAGGTCAAAAAAAGATCAGACCACACCATCACTAGCTATATGACCTCCTTGACTGAGTGAGAAAATATGTTTTTCTCATCCACACACACAGAGGAAAGAAAACAATCAGCTGCTTCGATGCACAAACACAAACAAACACATACACTTGCAAGTATCAATCTCGGCAACAAACAAAAACAAACAGACACACACTCCCGAACACACACACCGACCTCCACACCCCTTTATTGAATACCCATTCAGCAGATGACTGCCTGTAGTCAACAATAAACACACAGATTGTTTAGAGGCAATCAAACGGCTTCTCTGTGCGTTCTCCTCCCAGCTAACAGTCCTGTGCCATTGAAAAGGTGTGGGTGTTGCTCGTTGTATTGTTTGTTACCGTAGGGTGTTATTCAAGGAAAGCAAATCTCTGAACATTTGAACAAAAGTACCCCAAGGACTAGTGGACTGAGGGCTTCCTTCTCTTGCTTTGATTCTTAATCGAGGACTCTGGGAGGGAGGCAACGTCTGACCAAGAGCTGCAGGCCAAGTCTGACGCTTAATGGACATGGCGACCTGAGCGATTGATGGCCCCCGAGGGTCCTGTTGGCCAAACAGTAGAGTGCCCTGTGACCCTGGCCATCGGCCCACCGCTCCACGCCCCGCGCAGCCCAGTCTGACCAGCGTCATCGTCCAGGACAGGGAGGAGCTGGCGGGGCAGACATTGTGCCTCCTCTGCCCCTGGATACCTCTGAGCCCCTGGCCTTCATCCTATCCCTCTCAACTCCTCACACACACACACACACA